TTAGGGTAAACATCCTGCGGCTCTGACTGCAGCGCTGAGAGGGACTCCTGCGGGAGAACAGGGTTGGGATGGGGGAGGCGCCCCACGGCAATGACAACGGCGGCGGATGACGCATTAATCGCGCGACACAACTAATAGATGATGAAATTCGTTGCCAACGCTTTTAAAAGTCGATTTTTATCGATTTTATCGATTCGTTGTTGCAGCCCTACATTCATACAAACAGGAGATAAATACATGATGGAAAAACTACATAAACACTGACACAGTATCCAGGATACACCAGTATCAGAATTTAGGCCAAACCAGGGACCAAAGTGTCAAAGAATATCTAACATCGGCCTGTACCCCTGGCAGTGCAGGGGGATCAAGCATCCATAGTATACATGCAAATACACTCAAACCTCATATAGCTAATGTTAATGCTTTCTTGTAAAGCCCTTCTTGCAGCCTCTTTATGTAGTCTCTAAAGCAGTCGTTTTCAAAATGCTGTCCTGCTGTTTCTCTGAGTCCCTTTCTCTACATGACTGAATCAAATGGCTTCACTGTCTCACTAGCTTGTATTTTAATTAGGTCTGTTCAAACAGATGCATCTTAATGGTATAGTGAAAGATATTCACACATTTTTTAAAAGACCCACCCTCTCCACTTAAAAAAAAAAAGCATATATACAAGAGGCCTTTCTTTTCTTATACACTTCATAAACGCTTATTTTTCTTACCACCCTCGGCTTTTTTTAAAGAACCGTGTTGAGAAAGGTGAACTTCAGTGGCTATCTGAAAGCGTAGCTCACAGCATATATACACCTGAAAATGCGCAGAAAAAGCATAACTAACGGGACGAGCATGTAGAACGGCTTTACGTAAAATTATCACCAGAATGATTGACAATTAGGAAGACCTCTTATTTAGATGATCTATATTTTTAAGGTTCCAGCCCCTCAAGGACTGTAGTTTGAGACCATTGGGCTGAAGAACTGCCTGTTTGGGAAAATAAAAAAGGTTCTTAGTGTTGTGATGCCTGAACTCTACCTCCATCCTTCAATCTCCTAAAAAGTGGAATTTCTTTTAGGGTTTATTATTAAAATAACAGTATTATGTTTTATTCTTAAAGCCATTTTTCTAATGTAGATAATGATAATTTAAAATTTTGGCCAAAAATTTAGACCAGATATGATGAGACCAATAAAGGATGTGACGGGATTTCTGCTTTGACTTTTCCAGACCTGCTTTCTTGTCTTATCATTCCTCTATCCAACCATCAATCCTTTGATCTATTTGTAAATCCCTCCACCTGTTTCCTCAATCCATCCAGCATCACTTCCTCTGGTTGTTCCTGTTTCCGTCTCTAAATCCTGACCTCTGCAGTAAATTAACGTTAAATTGTTTTTATTTTTGAACAGATCCAGGGCTTTAACTTGAGCGGCAGTGAATTTGCTTACGCCAGCGACTGCGCCGGGTTCTTCTCCCCTGGGATCTGGATGGGTCTGCTGACCAGCCTGCTCATGGTGCTGGTGCTGACCTACGGCTTGCACATGATCATGCAGCTCCTCACCATGGACCGCTTCGATGACCCCAAAGGTCCCGGCATCTCGGTGCCGCAGACGGAGTAACACATCTGCCGGTGTGTTTCCTGACTCCATCCGTCCTCCAGTCTCTGCATTGAACCCCTCCTTTCATCCCCGCCTCTCTCATTCCATTCCTAACATGCAGATCATTCCATGTCGTTGTCCCTCCATCACTGAACAAACGTACGAGTGTAACCTTAAATGTGAATCCTGACACTGAAGTGTCTGATGTTAAAGTGGTTAAACAGCCACACAATCTGGGTCCTTTCAGACCACCATGGGTTAATATGTGACCCATATAAAGGGAGACATACAGAGATAACTGATGCTTATTTATTAAATGGATTATATGCTATTTATTGTTGATACTGTTGTGGTTACCGTGAAGTTTTGTTTGCATTTGGTTTGTTTTAGATATGCGAGATTATTTATGGAAATATTTCATTTTGAATTATGTTCATGACATTCCATTTTTGTGTTGTAATGTTGACGTGACTCCAATAAAACACATTAAAGGTGTTACTTCTGGTTTTTTCAGTCGGACAACTTTAGCTCTTGTTTTCTGGTTCAGTTCAGACTTAGACAAACTTTATTGTCTAAATTTCGATATAGAAAGTTCAGAAAAAGTTTTTAAATCGAAAGATTTTCAGAATTTAGCAAGAATCTCAATGTTTCATTGGACATATTGGATTGGCTGTGTCTATCACTCCTTATTGTTGTGAAATAGGCAACTACCCCTGGTAGATGCCTAATTTTTTCAGGTGTGGATCCCGGAGTAAAAGCCAAAGTTACGCTGCTCTGCAGTAACTCTGCAGGAATAACACTGTAGAGGCTCCACACAATCTGTTACACTCAGGTTCTAATGGGGCACAAAGGCGGCCTCTGAGGAGGGCCCCCTGACTAAAGCCCATCTGGCCCCAAAATGGCTGCAAATGCTTATAACACAGAAAAAAACTGATGAATCCAGGTTGAGACAACATTTACTTGCAAATTAGGTTTATTAAGGCACCAAAATGAAAACGTTGGAGTTACAAATGAATGAAATTAAAGCTACGTGTGAAGTAGAAGTTAAGAAAACAGAAGTAAACAAAGAGAGATGAAGTTGAAAAAATGCATTTAGTCACTCTGTAGACATTTCTGATTATGATGCACTTCATACAGAGCACAGGAAATCTGATGATGGTTGGAGCTTTATCCAGTCACAGTAGCTGCAACAAGAAGGTCACAGAAAAGTCATTAAACTCTAGCAGCAAAACTTTCTGACTGAAGAAGATAAAATATCAACAATTCACTCCTTTAAAATTCTAAGACTGTAAAAAGGTCCCAATAGAAATAAAGGGATAGTTTTCTCATTCCTCTTTCTAAATGGATAAACTTGCTAAATCTGTCATTTCAGGGTTCCTACAGTGTGGTAAAGGGTAGTTAATCGAATTTATTTAAATGTAACTATATACAGAAGGACCTAAACTGACACTGATAGACTGATTGGTTCTGCTGGATGATCTGTTGTGCAAAATGCAGTGTTTGACCTCTTATATCTTGATACTAGTGAGTCATTTTATGCCTCACAATGAAAAAATGTAAAATGTCACAACTTTGGCTTACTGTAAAACTTGATAAGTAAGTTGAAATGAAATAATTTGAGGAAGCCGACTGCCTTAAACCATTTATTAACTCAAACTGTTAGGTTGAATAGTAAAATCCAATAAAATTTTTTGTTAAATTAATGGAGGAATGAATATTCCAATAAACAATTTTGTTCTGTAAAATGAAATTAAGACCTGAATGATTTTTTTTTTCAGTTTATGTAACAGTTGGACTTACTAGTACAGAGCCTTGAGGACATAAGTGGGACATTCAAAGTCTAGCATGGAAATTTTTCATTATACAATCCTGCAATTGTATTGCTGTATCAACCTTGATTTTAATTACATGTGGCTCCATGAAGAGCATCTGATGAAGATATTAATGCAGCTTTTTAGCCTTTCATAGTGTTTAAATAATAACTTGCACATGAAACACATGATCTGCAGAATAGATCCATGACTTTCAGAGTGGATTAAATCATATTCATGCAAAAAATACTGCAGAGAACTTCCAACTGATTGAATATGGATTTTGGTACAAGGAGCGGGTAAAGCTCATATTTCAGCTAAACTCTACGAGAAACAAAAAAAAGTTAGAAAAAAAAACAAACTTTGTTTTTTCTTTATCTGAAGTAGTCCATCTTAGGATTGTTTTCTGGGGATAAGATGATGTCACACAGTAGCTTTTTACTGTGAACTCTAGACACAAACATTTTAAGGTGAGTAGAGCACCCAAAAATCTTACTTAAGTAAATATATCACAATTAATTTATCATATTTTTATTCAAGTAAAAAGTAGCCTTTTAAGAAATTACTTATGCAAGAGGGAAAAAAATAATTGTAAAATGGCTACTCAAGTACTGAGTAACTGATCAACTTATTACTCATGATCATAACAACAGATTTAAGATTTGAGTTATAAAACTTAAAAAAAAAAACTATAGTTAAAGTATGTAGAATAGTTTAAATTACAGTATACTGTTTGCTGTCTTATCACTCAACCTCAAAAGGACATGGCAGCAGATGGAAACATTTATCATTTATCAAAAAAGCCTGGAGTACAAAACATAACAAAGTGTATCTTTGTGGTGCGTATGGTGCAATGGTGCATATTTGGTGAAAATAAGCTTGTTTTCATTAAACTCACAAACGGTGGAGTAGCCAGAATTTTTACTCAAGCAAGAATAGTGATCATTTATCGAATGTTTGCTCATGTAAAAAAAAAAAAAAAGTACAAGGCTTTAAATCTACTCCTTAAAGTACATAAACAAAAGTTGCTCATGTTAATGTAACTGAGTAAATGTAACTAGTTACTACCCACCTCATAGGATAGATAAAGAAAAAAGATGCCTGTTTTATGGCACATTTATGTTGTTTTATTTAACTAAGAAAAAGAAAAAGCCTCAAGGTAAGAAATAAAAGTCATAAGAAGCTGGTCGCCCACCCTGAACCTGGAATTGTATTGAAGCAGCTTTTTTGAAGCAGAGTTTCAGCTCTGAATCTTCTTTGGAAGTATTTAATCATCACATATTTTAAGTTGATATTTTTTCCCCACTCTGCCTCGTATGCTTAAATGTAAATCAAAGCATACCACAATGAAGTCTGCAAAGCGACCCCAGGTTTGAATAGCTTGTTTATATTCTTCCTTTTGCTCATTTAATATCATGCAGGATCAAGTTTGCATTTTATGACAGGAACACCTAAATAGTTTATTATGTTGTTGTTGGGCTACACAGGGATAGGCTGCTGCCTTGCAGCAAGAAGGTCCTGGGTTTGATACCCAGCTTGTGTTTTTTCTGCCTGAAGTTTATATGTTCTCCTCATGCATGCGGGTGTTCCCTCTGGGTACTCCCACTACTTCCCACAGTTCAAAACATGACTGTTAGGTTAACTGCTCTCTAACTTTTCCTTAGTGTCTTTAACATTTCAGTCTGTGTTTTCTTGTGGTGGTTTAGAGAGCTGTCCAGGGCGCACCCCACATCTCACTTAATAACCGCCTAGATAGGGGCACTGGCCCCCCCAACCCAGGCAAGGATAAAGAAATAAATGATACATGGACTCTGTAATTGTTTTCTATTACATAAACTGTCATTGAAACAGAGGTTTTTACTGTGAGCTCTGGGCACAGAAAAAAAGTACCCGATAGATACAAAGTGATCAGTGATTCCTATTTCTTTTTGTAACTGTCTAATGTTCATCAGAATACAGTTTATTGTATTTTACCAAAAGCCTGTGTTGATTTTTGTTTATCATGCACAGTTACCAGGCTATAAGATCCATAAGAGGTTTGAATGTTACTTGTACAGTTTCTGATTATCTCCAATATCATCATTCTTTTTTAAATCATTTAGGTCTCTTTTATAGGTCATACATTAAAACTACAGAGCTCTTTGTCTGCTTTCACCCACCATGCCGATCAGAAATGTGTTTTTTAGATAGAGGTAGAAAATCAGAATGTACTGAAAGAACATCTCTCCTAAATGAGCTCATAAGGTGGCAATGTTTGAGCTACACAAAGTTTTCAATGTTGTTGAACTCACCATAACATAAATAATCCACCTCCAGGTACTTGTAGGTTCCAACACAGGGATCTCCAAATACAGAATTGGTTGCTTTAAGCTTACACGCCCGCCTCCCGTTGCATCTGTGGATTCAGATCAATGTCATTTAAAAAAATATATACATCAGGCCTTTTTAAGACACCCTTATTCTCTAATTTATATGCATCCAATATGGTGAAAGGAATAATGGGTAATGCAGCTGTCTTTTAGAAAAGACTGAGCATCTATACCTCTTAGCCACTTTGTCTGAGCTGCTGGAGCACTGGGTGTTCTTTAACTGCCCTTCAGGTCGCCCAGTGGAGCAGGTTTTCTGGTCACGGCGTCCATATGTGGCTCTGCTCACATATATACCCTCACCTTTACCTGAAGGAGAATAAATGAGATGATGGAGAGGCAGAGACAGTTCTCAATCTGTTGATGGTGTAATGCTCCACAAGAAACCAATAAACCCAGTGATCTTACCACATCGGAGTTTAGCCACTTTTCCCTCACATACCACAGCGGTTGTATTCTGGAGTCTTCTTTCAGGCACTGTCATATCAGCAAAAAAAAAAAAAAAAAATTATGTTTTGTTTATATCCTTTATTCCTCTCCTTAAATGTAGAATACATTTACCTAACCTTCTATACTTATGCTGCTATAGGCTTAGACTGCTGGAGGACATAGAGACCTCTTTTCATCACTGTGCTTCATTCTACCCACATTCTCCCACTCTGCAGAATTTGTTAGTTCAATCTCTTCCATTATGTTCTCTCTGCTTTTTCTCATCACAGTAGCTTTATCTGGTCTGCTCCTGTTTGGCTTTGACACCACCTTGGATTGAAATATCAGCTGTGCTGCTGCCTTTAACACCTTTGTTTATAGATGTTGGAGCTTGACCTGTTTTTTCAGTGTAGTCCTGTTTCTATGACTGTGACTAACTGCATGTGCTCTCCTTCATCCTCTGACATGGGAACTGGCTCAGAGCTCAAATTCACCATTATGGGGTGTCAACCAACAGGTCAGATGGGACAGCGACATATTTACCCACCGGAATCCTGCTGTTCTGTCAGATTATCTAGAGCCATGTGTTAAAGAAGACACAAATGAAAATGTATGGTTGCTTTTTTTTTTACCTAAACTGAAAAAATCTGACATGGAGCTTGATCCTCCCTACTGGTTTTGTGCATTTCTGGTTAAATTAGTTATAAGCAATTTTTATCTTGTTTTCGGCATTTGCAGCATTTTTCCTTTTTTGCATGACTTTTCTGTATGGCTTTTTATTTTTGTGTGTTTTGGAGTTTGTATCATCAATGTGCTGTGCTTTTAACCCTGCATGTTTGCACCTGTTGACCACCGTAATCCTGATTTGTTTTTTAAATCACTATTTTCCAGAGAGAAATTGAGCTATTTTTGTCTAAATAACCAAAAATCTAAAAAAATATATTTTCATTTAATGACGTAATCTGGTTTCTACTCTGGGGAAAAAATTTTTACATTTTTGTTCTCTAACAAACCATTTTTTAATACTTCCATCCACATGGTGCTTCCTATAAAGTCATGATTTTCCTCTACAGCAGCCCTTATCAGCAGTAAGAGCCATGAATGTTTCCATTTCTTTATTTTGGGCTGCATTTCTTTTTAGCCCCATTTACTATAAAACTCCTAAAGTAAGTTAAGCCAGGTGGTAACAATCACTATTTATGCACTAAATTCTACCAGATTAGACTTAAAATGTTACATTTTATAAAAAGTCCAAAGAGAAAACATTTAATTCTGGTAGTAACAGAAAAAAATGCACAGAAATTGAGACAGTATGCATACTTTGCAAAGTGTTTAAATCCACTTTAAGCATTGTAAAGTTTTTCTACTTCTGATTACCTTCACATGTGTACTCCACCTCCAGGTACTTGTAGGTTCCAACGCACGGATCTCCAAACACAGAGTTGGATGCTTTAAAGTTACACCACCGCCTCCCGTTGCAACTGAGGATTTAGATGATTTATGTTTAAACTGTGATCAGGCCCTTTCTTAGAGTTTCTCATTATCTCGTTTCTATACTTCCAATTTAGAAAATATTGAGCATCTGTACCTCTTAGCCACTTTGTCTGAGCTCATGGAGCACTGGGTGTTCTTTAACTGCCCTTCAGGTCGCCTAATGGAGCAGGTTTTCTGGTCACGGCGTCCATATGTGGCTCCACTCACAGATATGACCTCCCCTTTGCCTGACAGAGAAGAAAGGAGATGTTGAAGAGGCAGAGATAGTTTTCAATCTGTTTATGGTGTAATGTTCCCCAGCCAACCAATAAACCCAGAGATCTTACCACATCGGAGTTTAGCCACTCTTCCCTCACATGCCAAGGCAGAGTCTTTCTGGGAGATGCATTCAGGTTCTGTCATATGAGAGATTGAGATACATTAATGACTCTTTCAGGACCCTGAACAGCTCATATCAGCTTAGCGATGGACCTGAGAGGGAAAGCCCTGCCCTGCATGGTTTCATTAGTGTTTAAAACACTGAGGGGGAAAGTGGAGCAGGTTCAGCAGCACTTTCAGC